GACCAAGCTTTCATCCGGGCTTCCATTGCCGGTATTCATGCGCGACTAGATCGTTTTGAGCATTCTTTGTCCGCGTGCACTCAGGCTCTGTGTGAGTCTTCTTCACGTGCTGAGGAAGATCATCGTCTTGCTGCTGAAGACCGCCGTGTCGCCGCTGAGGACCGTCGTTTGGCTTCTGCTGAACGGCGTAAGACTCAATCTCTCCTCCATTCCCTCCTCGCCCGTTTACCTTCTGGCCAGTAGCTTGTTGCGCGTGTGGACCTTCTCTTTTGTTTCATCTGTAACTATTTCTCTTGTATATTTTGTTTTCCTTTTAAACTGTAAGAATTTGCTATGTATAGGTTGCTCTGGTCGACATGATCCCTGTACAGTTCTTTTTATCATCATGTAAACTCTTTTTGCAATGCAAGTTCTTTATGTTCTGTTAACTTTCGATACATTCGTTTTCTGTCTTTATGCTTGTGCTATTAATGTGTTTGTGGTTGTTTCTTTTGGTTCTTCATATTGCTTTCCAGGTTGCGCAGTCCGGTTCAAGTTTGGGGGTTTTTGTCTCAAAATGCCATTCCCTCCCCCTGGGTATTGTTGTTCCTTTTATACTCGTTGTCATTTTTGTCTCTCACTTGCATCCATGTCCACATTGAGGACACTGTGTCGTTTAAGTTTGGGGGTGCATCAAGCATTCTTGGCATATTTTTGGTTCCATAATTTTTGCTAAGCAATGATAGTATAACTTGACACTTATCGGAGATGAAACATATGTTTAATACCTTGTGTATAGAAACAATTGAAAAATTTTGAAAATAAAGAAAAATTTGAGTTGAAATGATCATGTAAATACAATGTAGTCTGTATAAATGCCTCAATTAGATTCTTGCTGGATTTACACTCTTATAAGCTTCACAATGCACAGATGCACATTGGAAACTTAACTGTGAGGCATGCAACTTGATTGACCTTGACCTTGGCCTAGTTAATCTGATTTGATGAACCTGATAGATGGATACCTTTGGCATGTTTATTCAAAAAAAAAAAAAAAAAAAAAAAAAAAAAAAAAAAAAAAAAAAATGACCAGTTGACGTTCGTAGCCTTTCCAGCTCGAGCTATTAAGCCCTAGGAGTGTCTCTACACTTAACACCCTAAAGCCATCTGGTTTGGGAGTTGTTGGCCTAACGCTTGCTACAAGGGTTGGTTAGAAAGCTTAAGGGACTTAAACATTGCACGGTCATTCAAAAAAAATTAAACTAGTAATAAACATGGTTCGTTGGAGTTCGTAGCCTTTCCAACTTGAGCTATTAAGCCCTATGGAGTGTCTCTACACTTAGTACCCTAAAGCCATCTGGTTTGGGAGTTGTTGGCCTAACGCTTGCTACAAGGGTTGGTTAGAAAGCTTAAGGGACTTCAGCATTGCACAACCATTCTATGTTTCGCTTATGTGTTGAAATAAATTGTTAACAAGCAACAAAAGTTGTCTTGAAAATAAAATCATGCCTTAGGGACTTCATGTAAAAGGGAATTCATTGACTTGAAAACTTGTACCTTGAAATTGGAAAAGAAAGTAAAAGCCGCATGTTGAGAATCCAATTCACTTTCACTGAAGCGAGAGTTGATTTCCATTCAAGAGATGATAATTGAGTTATTTATATAGACTTTGATGTTGATGCATGTATGTAGAAATGTATTTAGCCAATTTTTGTATCAATGCTTCATATATGCAAGGTAGTTTTCCCAATGACCCCATCTCCAGTTTTTGTCTGTTTCAAGTTGTATTTGAGCTATGTTTCTATCTCATTTTACCATGCAGGATATTTTTTGTAGTAGCATGCCCATGGTTGTCTTTTCTTTATGTTTTTCATTGTAGTTTTGCTAAGGGACTAGCAAAATGTAAGTTTGGGGGTGTGATAAGCGCCGAATAATGTATATTCAAGCGCCCTAAATTACATTAACAAAGTCCAGTTATTAATTATTTTATGTAGATTAACTCCAATTCTATGTTTTTATGCATTTTCAGGTTCATTGGCCAAAATGGAACAAGAATAAGGCCTTGTGGAGTCTTGAGCAACAAAAGGGTGCCAATGCTGAATTCTGGCAGCAGTAGAGCCTGGTCTTTGCTTGCCATTTTGACCTTCCAAACTCGAGAACTGGTCTTCCCTCATAACATGAAAGATTTAGAGCTCTGAATCAGATTTCCAAATCTTCAAGTGGTTCATCATTCGGAGTTCGGAGCAGAGAGTTATGATCTTCACAACAGAGGTGCGCAGAACTGCCTGGCAGCACTGATGTACTGCCTTTCTCCCCATTTTCGGCCAACCAGACTTGAGATTTGGGTCTTCATCAAAACATGAAGTTTTTAAAGCACTGAATCAGCTCTCCAAAGCTTCAAACAGATCGTCATTCGGAGTTCGGGGCACAAAGTTATAGCAGTTTTCCCAAAATAGGTCAGCACTGAGCAAGAGGAGCATGTTGCACATCGCACTAAGTTAGAGTGCTCGAAGTCACCAAGCGTGCGCTCGAAAATCAGGCAGAATGCCCTTCGGAAATGGCTCATTTCAGCCCACTTGCACATTGGTTTCCTCAATGCCATCTTCCCTCTTTATGAAGTGGTTGGAGGTGTTCCTTGGAGGAGAGAGGGTATGGTTGGAGCATAAAAGGCTACCCAAAGGCCACATATATCATTAAGCTTTATCTTGAGCAAGAGAAAGGAGAGAGAAGAGAGCAAGGAGAAGGGTGTTCTTGAGTGCTACAGTAGGAGCTCGAAAATGGAGATGAGGATGATGCTTCTTCCTTCTTCTAGCTCACCAATGGGTAACTAAACCTCATCTAGGGAGGTGATGAAACCCCTCCCTTGTAAACATGTGTTAGTATAGTTTATTTTTGGGGATTACAATGTATTTTTGATAGTCTTTCCATGGTCAAGAGCCTCATTTTTGTTGTAATGAATGTTGAATGTTTTAAATGATTATTGTGAGTTATTCATCTTGTCTTGGATGGTTGCCTTTCTTAATCATATTGCTTGCACTTCCATGGTGACAATGGAAGTTAGATCATGGAATGGTTTTAATGGCATGGAGTTGGAGAACCTAGATAGTTCATGGCTTAGGGTTTCCCTTTGATGGGCTATACTTGATTCTTAGCTTTATGTGCATTCACCATTTAAATTAGGGCTTGATAATCCTTGGCTTAGTAAGCATGTTCTAAGCTACATTTTAGTTTAGGTAGTTGATCATGTGAACCTTTGATGGTTTATTCTTGCCTTTCTAATTAAATGAACTTCTTAAGGATATTATAGCAACCTAGTATTGTTATGTATCATGACTATCATATATGTTGTTTTCCCCTTAAATTAATCTTAACCTAGCATGTGTAGAGGGATGGAGGTGGATTCATTTCCCTAGCCTTCTTTACTTGTACTCACTCCCTTGAATTCTTGCAATTTACTGTTTTATGCACTTTTAATTTCCTAGCTTAAGTGACATCCAACAAAACCTCTATACACCCTTCATCATTCTAAGAATGATTCTAGACATTTAGGTTGTATTAGACTAGCGTAGTCCCTGTGGTTCGACTTACCCGACCAATAGCCCTATTTTACAATGATTCATGCTATTGCGAAGGTTGATGTTAATTGACCAACCGATCACAAAGAAAGTTAGTGGAGAGAGGCCCACAAGGGAAACTTTATCGATAGGCATACAAATCCATATGACTTTCTCGCCCCGCACCAAAGGCACAACTGACATCAGAGTGAAGGAAAGTTATCCCATAAAAAAACTTAGGCCATCTGCACCAGCCTCTCCGGATTTTGACTCTCTAAAAACGCCACATTAGCTTTTCCAAGAGTTACGTCAGCAATTCCAAGAGGCACGTTAGTAGCTTTCGCTTTCCAGAAACATGCACTCCATCAAACTCTCCGAATATTTGCTCTCCAAAAAAAATAATAATAATAAATTAAAATTATTATTTTTTATTATTTATTTATTTATTTATTTTTAACTTTTCCTAAACGACTATATTTTTAACGACTATATTTTTCATCTTATATAATGAAACTCATTTACTCATCTGAAAATCATCATTATATTTATCTCTCTCCATTATTTATATATTTTTAAAAATTATAGCCGTTAAGGCACTATTTGTGTCGGCCAAACAGTGTTTTAATGGCCAAATGCATTATTTGTGGTACACATTTAAAATTTAAAGCAAAAAAAATAAAAAGAAAAACAAATTTTAAAGGGAAAAACAAACCAAAAAAAAAAGCTTTTTTAATTTATTTTTGGCCCAAATAAAATTTATTTTTGACCCAAATAAAATTTATTTTTGATAAACAGTGTCTAAACAATATATTTTTTATTTAATACATTTATTTTATTTTTTATTTAAAAAAAAGCTAAAAATAACTTATTTTTAGGTTTGGTGCACCATGAAAGGCCCTGCTAGAATAAGACAAAAGAGCTGCAGCAGAAGCGGCACCATCCAGACTCAAAAAGAAAATAACCGACTTGCTGAATGCCGCGAGCCCACTCACTAGCAAAATTACACCCTACCAATTTTGACTAGCCCGCTGCATGCCCAAACAATCCATTGAGTCGCCGAAAATGGGCTTGTCCTACAACCGTGGAGAAAACTCAAAATTTTCAGAACTGGATAAACTCTTACGAAGAGGAGAAATTATAATGAAGGATAAACTCAAAATCATCGAACTGGAGGTAATTGTCGACCCTCTTTGTACTACTGTGTTCCAAGACTTTTCAACAAGTAACAACTTTCCACCTGACTTTCTCGCCCCGCACCAAATGCCCCTTGTTACTTTATGATTGCATCTGCGTAAAACACCTAAAACCCTAAAGTCAAACATTTATCACCCATTCTGCCCTCGAGACACACTCTCTGTTGCATTCTCGTTCAGTCCCTTGCCCCCATTGCTGACCACCATCACCTGACACCGTCACCGACCACTGTCGTTCCGTCATCCTTACCAACCATCGTGCGATCCGGTCAGTTCTCTCTCTCTTCCTCCTCCTCCTCCTCCTCCTCCTCCTTGATTCAAGAACCCTATGTGGAGTTTTGTATCCAAAATTGAAAAACGCTTGGTAAGAAAGGTCATTTGATTTCCTGCTATTTTATTGTGTCCTTTGTTTGGCTCCCTATAAATGGATGAAAAGAGAGAAATGAGGGATTTTGAGGTTCATGTAATCTGTTGCTCTGTTCCAAAATGAAATGGTAATTTCACTCAATGAACCAATTAATTGCATTATGACCAAATGAGTGGAGTTTTTTGAACACTGAGTGGTGGAAAATTTAAGACTCAATCATCTTGATTTTATTTTCTATCCTTCTTATTAACTAATGGATGATTTCAGACTTGTTTTTTTTTTTTTTTTGATGATTTCAACCTTCTAATTTTGATCATATTCCTTGTATAGTGATTATGTTTCTGTTAATTTTTGCATAATTGAATTCATTTTGGATTTTCTCCACATAAATATTGACACTGCCTTTATCTAAATTGTATCACCATATGTGCAATCATTTATGTTTACATTTGATGCCGATTGCTGAAGTAATAGGAACTCTAAGATTATATTTTTGTGTGTTTTCTTCATCTTTTTCTCCCGCTTTGATGTCTATTGTGTAGCAGCAGTGTAGTGATGCTTGATTTATTTACTTAGAAAAAAAAAAAAATGAAAAAGTGGAAAAAGTAAGAAAAAAAGTGTAGTGGGAGTTTAAACTTTAAACAAGATGGGGTGGGGGAAGTTAAACGGGGACGGAGATGGGGTGGGAGGAGGATTTTCTAAATGGTTTTGGGGGAACCCGCCCCTGTTATTATTATTATTATTATGGTTGGGTTAAAGTTGACATACTAGGGTAGATAACTCTGCTGTACATTTTGGATGTCTTAATTTGCAGATCCATTGCACAAGAGAGAAAGATCTATCTACCTATCTGAGCGTCCTGTATTTGAATATTAATTGTTGCTGATCGATGAGGCGGAAAAGACAGAGGAGGACTGTATCTCAAAGGGATTGCTCTGAGGCATGTCCAAGAAATGGGAATACTGCATCTGTAATGCACTTTGAGGAAGAAGCAGATACTGCATTGCACTCTTCTTCTACATCACTTCCAGCCCCAGGAGGCGAATACCAAGTCTTCTTGAGTTTCAGAGGCCCAGACACGCCACGGCTTCACGGATTTCCTGTACACTTTTCTCACTGACAAAGGAGTTCGCACCTTTCGAGACGATGAAGAGCTCCGCAAAGGAGAAGAGATCCTCCCTGAACTCCTCAAAGCAATCAAGGAGTCAAGGATCTCAATTCCAATCTTCTCCAAAACTTATGCTTCCAGTAAATGGTGCCTTATGGAGCTACAGCTGATGCTGGAGTGCAAGAGAAGAATGGGACAATTGATTTTACCCGTCTTCTATGATGTCACACCCTCGGAAGTGAAGCATCAATCACCTGGGAGTATGTACGATGAGGCCTTCAAGAAGCACAAGGAATCTGGGACTTTCAATGACGAGATTATTGAGCTATGGAAGAAGGCATTAAAGGAGGTTGGACATCTCAATGGTTGGGATCTCAAAACAGAAGCTGATGAGTAAGAAATACACTCCTGCTAAAAAAAACCCTTATTAAAATACTAGCATAACAGCTTCGTAATCGTGTTGGAATTCACTATTTTATAAACTCTTACAAGAATTTTCAGACAATGTGCTAGGATATATTACAATTCAATATCAAATCAGTGGGACAAAAATATGACTAAAACTCTAAGATGATTGGTTTTGGGAGTCAACTATTCTCTAGAAAATTACTTCAAATCAGAATAATTTCTTCAATAAGTTTGAAGTAAATAACTCTTTATCTTAAAATCAAACAGATTGTAAAAAAGCAGAAATCATCATTTTTTCCAAGACTCTTCAACTCATGTGCCATTTCCTCCTCCTTCCAAATGGAAGACTGAGGATTCAAGTTCAACTTAGAGGCGTTTGTGACTAGTGGGTCTTTGTTAGAGTTGAGCTTATGAAATAACCTATCCAGAAAAAAACAAAACAAAGCAAAACAAAATAAAATAAATCATCAATTTTTGTTTTTGTTTTGTTTTGTTGTTTACTTTAATTTCCTTTCAGTCACTAATTATTTTGTTTCATTTGGCACCCCCTTGGCATTAATCAGGCTTCAAGGAAAACTAATAAGAGATCAAATTGTTCCAAAAGTGTTGTCAGTACTGAAGACGAAATTCATGGACGTAACTAAAAACTTGGTTGGAATGGATCATCACGAAAATGAAATGATGAGACTATTAAATATTGCCTCCGACGATGTACAAGTTGTTGGTATCCATGGCATGAGTGGTATTGGCAAGACAACTGTTGCCAAATTCATCTACAACAAACTCTCGGAGAACTTTGACTGTTGTAGCTTCCTTGCAGATGTTCAAGAAATGGGAAAAACTCCCCAAGGTCTTGTTTGTTTGCAAAACCAACTTCTCGCTGACACATTAGATTGGAGCCCTTGCTTTGCTAATGTAGACAGAGGAATAGCCATTATTAAATCAACATTTTGTAACAAGAAAGTTCTCATTGTTCTTGATGATGTGAATTCCAGTCAACAATTTGTTAATCTTGTGGGAGAGCGTGATTGCTTTGGTAGAGGAAGTAAGATCATTGTTACAACCAAAAACAAAGGCGTTTTAAATGCTCTTAAAGTTGAATGGACTTATGAACTCCCATTTATGAATGATGTGCAATCTCTTCAGTTTTTCAGCAAGTGTGCATTCCACATGGAGTTTCCTCCAAAAGAATTTATTAGTATCTCTAGAAAGATTGCATCCACTGCGGGAGCACTTCCTCTAGCTCTCGAGTCTTTAGATTTGTCTAAATATGGGAAGCGTGAGATGTGGGAAGATGCATTGAAGAAGTTTGCAGAAACACCGGATGATGATGTTTTGAAAAAGTTGAGTGTAGATTACGAAGCATTAAAAAATGACCAACGGAAAATATTTCTAGATATTGCATGCCTTTTTGCTGGGATGGATAAAACAACTGTATTTTACATGTGGGATGATTGTGGTTATCATCCAAAGACAGGATTTGAAGACCTTGATCTCATGTCTCTTGTGAAAGTGGGAGATGCTAATAAGTTGTGGATGCACAATCAACTTATAGCTCTTGGGAAGAAAATCGTCAATGAAGAAATTTATCAGGAATACCGTAGTAGATTGTGGAATCACGTGGAAGCCTTGGAAATATTAGAGGAAGGGGAGGTAAAATCTAAGTTCACTAAATTTTATTTCTCTTATTTGACTAAGCATAATCAGTTGTTAAATCTGAAAACATTCTTTTCTTTTCTTTTCATTGGCAGGGAACCAAAAAGGTTGAGGCCTTAAGTCTTCGCTTTAACTTAAAGTCTGAAGAGAAGCGTTGCTTTACAAATAAGAAATTCATTAAACTAAAAAATCTAAGGTATCTCCGAGTGGATGGGGCAGACCTTAATGGGGATTTTACTGATGTTCTGTTGTCCTTAAGATGGCTTATTTGGCGTGGTTGCCCTCGGGATTTTGAACCATTGAATTTTTATATGAAGAATCTAGTCATTCTTGATCTATCAAAGAGTGGCATCACAGAAAAATGGGCGGTTTGGAATCAAATCCAGGTATATTGTATAATACCTCTACTTTTGTTTCTTGTGTCTTGTTTGAAATTAATCCTATTTGTGTTGTTCAATTTTTTTTTTTTTTAATTTTTTTTTTTTCAACAGATGTCGAAAAAGTTAAAAGTTCTACAATTGGCTGATTGTGCTTTGACGAGCACTCCTAACTTTTCATCAGATGCTGCTTTGGAGATATTGATTCTTGCACGTTGTACAAGTTTAGAAAATATTGACCCATCCATTGGCAATCTAAAGAAATTGAAAGTGCTTGACATTTCACATACTAATATAAGGAAGTTACCTGATGAAATTTGTATGTTGGAGAATTTGGAAGTGATGGACTTCACAGAGTGTAGTAAGTTGGACGCAGACTTTCCTAGTAATATGGAAAGACTATCATCTTTGAGATTCTTAAGCTTTTATGGTTCCAAAATTCAAAGTCTACCAGCGAGCATTTCGGGGTTCACTCAGCTCCAAACTCTTAACATAGGAGGCTGCACAGAGCTTCAGTTGCAGCCAGAGCTTCTTCCCTCAAGTTTAAGGATTCTGAATGTCGGTGAAATCCCTGACCTTATAAGTCTGGTTGATTTACAGGAATTGCAATTTTTTGAGTGCCATAATCTTGTGGATATGCCCAGAGATATTGGGAGATTACTCAAATTGGAGAAACTGACCTTGGATGATACCAAAATTAAGTCCTTACCGAAAGATATTGGCCTCCTTTCTCTGCTGAAGGTGCTCGACATACGATCCTGTGAGGATCTCCAATGTATATTGGGGTTACCCTCTAGTCTAGTTGAGTTATCTATTGCAATGTGTGATGCATTAGAAACATTGCCAGACCTATCAAATTTGAAGATTTTGTCAAGTTTGTTGCTCAAGAATTGTGATAAGCTAGCACAGGTTCAAGGGCTTGGAAAATTAGAATCTTTGACAAGTTTGTACATATTTGCGTGCGGGATGCTAGCTACTTTTGAAAACATGGTTGATGTGTCAAACTTAAAGAAGTTGGAAATATTATTTATTAGTAATTGTTCAGAACTTGCTACGATCCAAGGGCTTGATGGATTGAAATCATTGAAATATTTGAATTTGTGCGATTGCGAGAACTTGTGCAAGATTGAGGGCCTTGAGGCACTGGAATCTTTGGAAGTATTGGACGTGCTAAGGTGCACATCATTGGAACCAATACCAGATCTGCAATACACGTGTGTAATAAGTCGCGAAGATCAGATCACCAATTCAGTGTACAGGTATGGATTTATTTCCAGTATTGCCTTGTTTGAAACCTAAAATGATTTTTATGTGAAAACCATGAAATTTAGACTGTTCCAAGGCTAGTACGATGGTTATGTTTACAATTTTTGTTTTTGTCTTTTTTTTTTTTTTTTTTTTTGTTTAATTAAAGTAATTGAGTTTGAAGCATGATATGCAGCCTATTAATTTTCTTGTTGCCATTCATTTTTATAGCTATTGGACAGAGTTGACAGACAGAAAATTGGATGGGCTGCGGCTACCGGTGTTAAGTGGATATACAAATGAAGATGCACACAAGAAGAATGCAAATTTTACAACTTAATACTTTTGGAAGGTGTTCACTCCCTCCTATGCAGAGAGCCAAGTTTTTTTTTCGCTGTAAATTCATATATATATATATATATATATATATATATATATATATATATATATATATATATATATATTTTCCCGGTAAATCAGAAAGCCAAATTGAGGATATTAAGTGTTTGTTAATAGTGCTTTCATGTGTAGGGATTCCAATTATGACTAACATGATTAATAGTTAGGTGCCATTGGTGAACAGTCACTTTGTGAATATAAAAGGTTTGGTCTATGTAATTCTGTCTTCATTTCAAAATTGTACAAATTCGAACATGCTTAATCTTATTTGTGTGTTTCTTTTGTAGGTTTTATAGAACGTTGTGGGCTGCCAAAAGACATGAGCTGAAGGCTCTATACAAGGCAAGTGGACATAGGAGTGAAGATGTACCAGGAGGGAGTATTATGGAAGCAATGGCTTCTTGTATTATAGAAGCAGAGTGTTTTTTTTGCTTTGTAATGGGAATAGTTTTGTTGTCGCTAGTACAAAAAGACTACTGTTTTAATTGTGAATGGGAGAAGAGAGGTTCTATCATTTTTTTCCCTAATAATATAAGAAAGTAGATGCTCCATTTTCTTGTATCTTACATGACTAATCAAAATTGTTCAAAACATTCATTTAGCTGTTCCGTCCAAGTGTCACCATGCGTACTTAAGATACAAAAATTGTTGTTGGGACAAGAATTTCCTTATACTACCTTTGGCCCAAAAAGAAAAATCTGATTTGGAGAGTTGCGTCTGTTTGGAGGCCCAAAAAGAAAAATCTGGTTTGGAGAATTGTGTCTGTTTGGAGGACTGTGACTCACAAAGGGTCACAGTTCTCCAAAAGAAACATCAATGATTTTCGAGACTTATTTGAAATCAAGAGGCAAAACTACGAGTTAAAAATTAGTGGGTGTGTGTTTATTTTCCAATTAAAAAAATATGAGCAAATTATATTGACACCCCTTTAAGTTAGGTCAAATATCACATAAATGAATATTTTGGTTTTAACTTTCACTTAGATCCCAGATTATTTTTTGGACTCTAACACATGTGAATTGACCTATTTAGTCCTAATTTTTTAATATAATTTAATACAAAATATTTATAATCTTAAAGGACAAAAATGTCCCTATTTATTAGGAGAGCTGATCATTATGCTCTGGTGCTCAATTCCCTTTTTCTCCAAATGAAATTACCAAAGGATTCCACTTTGATTCATATGATTTTTAATACCATAATTGCCCTATCTTATTAGAGTTTGGATTCTGGTTGCCAAATCTCTATTTACCAAAATGGAAGCCATTAAACAACATTAGTAAAATTAAGACAATAGTACCTACACCAAAAAAAAAAATTGGTGACCAAAATTAAACATAATTGGTATAAAGTGACCATAAAATCAAGAAAAGATTTATAGTTACGAAACCTAAAATTTAATTACTCGTGAGTGACCATTTGATGGTTTATTACCTAAATGACCTTCTTATAATATATTATTATGTAAGGGGACAAATTTACTTTATACATTAAGCTAAATAAATACTTACTTAAATTGACTAACAAAGAGACAACCCATTATGGGGGTGATGGGAGAGTAGGTATAGTTATTATACTTTACAAGTTGATTTGTTTGAGAGGTCTTCCTTAAAATAAAAAGATTGTAATTTTTAGGAATTTTTTAATACATAGTTATTATAGTTTACAAGTTGATTTGTTTGAGAGATCTTCCTTAATATATAAGATTGTAATTTTAGGAATTTTTTAATACTACTGAGTTATAGTTTAAGAAATAATGACCATTGTTAATTAATTTCAGAATTTTGCCAACTGTTAATGGGTTGTATTGGATGGCAATTTTGTCATCTAAACTTTATTTTTAAAATATTTATCAAACACGTAAGTATTTTTGACCAAATTATCGTTAAATGGTCACTTAATATTAATTAAGTTTTAACATTGGTCATTAGGCCTCTTTTCTTGACTTTAAGGTCATTATAAAGCAATTATGTTTAATTTTGGTTACCAAAATATAATTTTTCCAAAAAACAATTTGAGGGTATTTGTTGGTTTTATAGTTATGAGTATATATATATATATATAGTGAATTGAGGATCCAACGCAGTTACACAAGCATACCTTCCTAAAGTCACAAACACACCTTCCTAAAGTTCACAATAAACAAAATACAACAACAACGATTGTTACAATAACACAAACACCAAAAAGAAACGGCCAACTAGAAATAAGCACAAATTGCTAAAAAATAACTCAATGAAACTTGAATTATAAAACAAATATAGATTAAAATAGTAGAGTTAAAAATGAACATGAATTACATGAATTTTTTTTTTTTTTTGACAATTTACAATTGCTTATTTATGAATTCATAAGCACATAAAATTGATCATATTACGTAACAAATGATTTGATTGACAACTCAAAATTCTATATGGTCTTTATTTGAACTAGTCTTTTCAACAAGAGTTTCAAAACTACTTTATTGTCAACAATTTAAAATTTAAGTATTATACATTTCAATCTTTTATTTTATTATTATTATTATATATATATATAGCCATGCCAATATATCCACACTTAGCTTTATCAAATTTTAATCTAAGAGAAAATTTGAGAGAAAACATTAATGAATTAAAGGAGTTAGAATTGTAAAGGAGTCCTAGAATTATAAAATAGTCCCAGGTATAAATATATATAGGAGATAGGGGATTGGACCAAATTTAAAATTTTAGGAAAGATTAAAAAGAATTTGATTGAGTCATCTCTTGTAAGAATTTTGGTATGAAAAATATAAGAACTAAACTTAGTGTGATGTAAGGATTCTTTTGTAATTTCATTTTAAGAGATAAAGAGGATGAAGTATCAGAAGATAATTATGGAGAGCCAATACCAGCTCTCTTTATTAATTTGACCGACAAAGTATAAATCTCCTTTGTTTGAATTCACTTGTGTCCACACACACTTACAGTCACACACTTGTATCCACACACACTTGCAGTCACACACTTGCAGTCACACACTTATGTCCACACACACTTGCACTCACTCACTTACAGTCACACACTTGTATCCACACACACACACTTGTAATCACACACTTGCATTTATTGACATTTTCATGTCTCATTTATAGGGTTTAGTAGAAACCTTTAATTCACTTATGGAAGGGTCAGATCACAGGTTTTGTGTGAGACATCTTTATGAGAATTTTAAGCTGAGGTTCAAACGCCAGCAACTAAAGATAGAATTATGGGAAGCTGCAAAGGCATACACTGAAGTAAAGTTTCAACAATATATAAGAAAAATCATAGACTTGAATGTTAAAGCTTATGATTGATTAACAAAGGTGCCAACTAAATTGTGGGCAAGGTCATCCTTTACAGAAACTTCAAAAAATGATGTGCTCATTAATAACATTTGTGGAAGTTGGAATGCTGTAATTCTTGAAGCAAGGGATAGACCAATAATCTACATGCTTGAATAGATTAGAAGACATCTAATGCTAAGGTTCCAGTGTAAGAGGGAGTGGATGTATACACAATTTGGCTTCTTATGTCCAGATATACAAAAGGCATTGAACAAAATCAAATAAGAAGCTACCATGTGTAAAGTTCATTCTACTGGTGAGAACAAGTATGAGGTTTAATGCTATGGCATTAGTGAGGCAGTTGACATTGATAAAAGAACCTGCAACTGTAAAGTTTGGAACTTGACTGGTATCCCATATAGGCATGCTGTGGCATGTATTTTCATTAAGAGAGACTCTCCTGAGGCATATGTTCACCCATTTTATCAGAGGGAAACCTATATGAAGTGTTATAGTGGTATGATCCTTCCCATTCCAATGGAAAGGTTAATGAAAACTGGCACCATTGACCCATTGCTTCCACCACACTATAGGAAACCTATTGGTAGGCCAAAAAAAGGCTATAAATAAGAAGAATGATGATCCCAATGGTTCAACCAGGTTTAGCAGGTTAATGGTTGGTCTAAAACATACCAAGTGCAAAGAGAATATGCATAACTCAAGGACTTGCAAATTACCTGAGCCTTTGGTCATTGACAAACCTCCACCAAGGAGGGGAGGTAAACCACCAAATATTGAAAGAGGGAGAGCAAGAGGACCTGCTGGGATGCCACTAAGAGGAAGAGGAAGAAGGGCTGGAAGAGGGAGAGATAGAGGAGTTAAAGTTCCTGCTCTAGCACCTTCAAACCAAGAGGTATGTCCAATGTTATGTTATGGACACACACTTGCTATACTTTGTTTATGTTCAAACTCGCTTGTTTCTCAACCAATTTTATTTTCAGGTTCAAAACATACCATATTCTCAGCTGTCACAAACTCAGCCATCAACTTCTTATAGGTATAATTTAATTTTCAGGATCAAAACATACCATATTTTTAGGTTCAAAACATATCATATTTTTTTAAGTTCAAAACATACCATATTCAGATTTAATGATATGGTTTGTTTGTTGTTGTTAACAAAATGGTTAACAAATTTCTTGGTTGATTGACAACTCAATGATGGATAGTGAGTATACATGTTGGTAATTAATATGGCCACAGAGTTGATAATGGTTTTGTTGTTGCATGTTATGACACTGTTCTTGACTTGAAGACTCAAAACATACCATATTTTTAGGTTCAAAACATATCATATTTTTTTAAGTTCAAAACATACCATATTCAGATTTAATGATATGGTTTGTTTGTTGTTGTTAACAAAATGGTTAGCAAATTTCTTGGTTGATTGACAACTCAATGATGGATAGTGAGTATACATGTTGGTAGTTAATATGGCCACAGAGTTGATGATGCAGTTGTCACTTTATTGTTGCTGACTTGAAGAGTTTGATTTTTTGGTGATTGTTAAAGATAATGGGGTGAAGACTACATATGCTGGCTTTTTTGGTGTTGTCACTCTATGCTTATGTGAAAGACTAGCTCAAAATAGTCTTCTTATGTAACTTTTCTAAATGTATGATTGTTTTATCAGTGTAACTATTCTAAACTTTTCTGAATGCATGGTTGTTTTATCAGTGTAACTGTTCTAAACTTTTTTGAATGTATGGCTATTTTATCTGTATAAAGTGTTCTTTTTTTTTCTTTTTCTTTTTTTTTTTTTTTTTTTTTTTTTTTTTTTTTTTTTTTTTTTTGCTGCAATTGAATGTATGATAGGCTATGTATGATTGTTTTATCTAACAGGTCCTTTGCAGTGTCTAAAGCTATGCATTTAATAGGTGCACATTTTAAGACAAGGTAGTGCAATTGAATTGAAAATATGATAGCACTAACTGCTTCCCCACAGTGACTACAAATATTTCAGTGACTGCACTAAGTGCTTCACCAAGTATGACATTGCTTCCCCACACTATAATAGCCTGCATTGACTACACTAAGTGCAGATATTTCAGTGATTGCATTACAATTCTGCATATAACATGCAACCAGAATATTAACTGAAATAACTGCATTGCTCATCACTCCCTCATGACAGGTTTCATTAACTGCACTAAGTGTATTGAAAACAACCTTACGTACACCATACAAACTAGAAAATGCAATGCATTATCAT